AGCTAAACATCCAAAGAATGGACGTACATTGTACTTGTAGTCTCAAGAATTTTGCCAAATGACAAAATCAAAACTAATCCACGTACTGTACATGTATGTGCATTTCTGCTACAAAAAGGTTGGCATGCTACTAGACTGAAAAGGCCATCAAAGAATGGAAATTATTTGTATTACGAATTGATTAAAGAATTCTTTCAAGGCTTCCGTACAATAACTTGTAAGTTGTTGGCACTTGTAAGTGGCACGTATTATGGAAGTTTCCACACCTCATGACGAATGTGTATATTGTGAAATACAAAGGTTATACATGTAAGTATGTATGTACATGTAGCAGATTGTAAAATTATTTGTGAAATTAAATGTGTTCACTGCTTCAAATATGGGCTTTGTAAAGAGAAATATTGGCAGATTTTAAGTAAAAATAAGTCTAAAGAACTTTTTAAGGGACAGTCGTCATTGTTTATTTGTTGCTAAGGTTTTTTAATTACATGTATAGTGTTCACGATACTTGGGTCTCTAAAGATACGGAAACAGCATTACAGATGTAAATGTGTGATACTTGTCCTAATCTACATGTATGTCAACTTTACATTGGTACTTTGAATTTACTTACTTAACTGCTTTATATTTGGCCAGTAACTGAATGGAGGCCATCACATCTGCCAGTAAAGTGTGTTGGCTTACAGTATGCCACATTAAGTATTCTGTCATTGAAACCATGCCACAGAGAAAAGACACAAGTGCTGATGGGGGATGGGAACTGATTTTTTCCTAGCCTCAGGGTCCATCCTTGATTGTGACAGAACTAATTAGTGAAGTGCCTCAATACAAGCCTTTATATTCTCACTCAACTGTCAAATTGGAATGCTGTATTCTAAAAGAACGATGTAGGTAGATTTGCAGAACACTGGCAATTACACTGGCCTTCCATGTTAATCCATGAGAAAAATGGCTGCCAGTAGAAATTAAACGTCAGTTCGTAGCATGTTAAGACAATTTTCTGTCCATATCACCAGAGACCATCACAAGCAGGCAATTCTTCCCCTTTTCATCAAAATTGAGAATAATCCTTAATTACCCTGCTTATGGATCCTTTCATTTGAGATGCATGAGTAGCATGTGCAGTGCTGATGCACTTCAAGGAATTTTTCTAGATGATTCGGATAGTCATGACAGTTCATCCTCAGTCACTCAAGTGACAGTGACAACAGTGACGTTACTACAGAGAATGACACCAAGACTGACAATTCTGTTGTGTCAATCCCCCCCCCCGGAAAAACAAGTGCTTTGAACTTCTTTTGAACTTATTATCTGCAGTGATTTGTGCTGTGCATGTATCTACATTTCTACTGTATTTCTTTCTACTGGAAGATCAAACCTCACTCACACATTATACTGTTACAACTACAACAAAGCTGAAAAGAAAGTTGTCAGTCTTTTCCATAGCAGTACTTTGTGAGCAACTTACACCCTCAATCAACTTTAACAAATGTAACTTCCCCCACACCTCTTCTATTCAACCTGTCTGTTTCCTTGCTCAGTGAAAAAAAAAATACATGCCAATGCCCCAAATCAGTGCACGGCAGCAACTCCAATCATTTACATGTAAGTACACTGTACTCACCTGAATGACTTACCTGTTACTAGTAATGGAGACAGTACAGAAATGACGGTACAAGTAGGGTACGTCAACAAAGCAAGGCACAGTCGGTCGGTCGGTCGGCCTGTGAACTATCATGTGGTGGAACAGCTCAGAAATTTACCATGGTGTCATTGAATGGGCCTATCCCTGGGCCCACCTGTTTTTCCTTCCTCCGTGGTTCACACTAAGATGTTAGATTCTTAGTCACGCAGAGTCAAGAAGACAGCAGAACAGTTACCTACCGACCATCGACATAAACCACTGACGAAAGCCACCAACTGTCTACATGTATAATGTTAGGACAATCAAGGTCAGGTCACACGAAGTGCCAGTTAAGTCGAGCTACCTAGGACGTTACAACCCTCACTGGCAGACCCCTGAACTCGCCCGCGATTGGGACTGCGCGGCGGACGAAGTACTACAGGAGTTCTCGGGGTAGCAAGATGAAACTTCTTCCTTCAGAAATTCCTCCATGGTTTTACAAAACAACAGAATAAACATACAGCAAAGGCTCCATGATCGTCGTTCAAGACCCTCCAAGATACCTGAAATTAGACGTAAAAACTATGATTTCCAGCATCCAATGCGTCGCGTCTTGTTCGCTTCGCCGAGGTGTCCCCCTGAAGAAGTTCGTTGGCCAGCAGCATGCTGACATGAAGCCACAGGCTAACCTCCTGCCGTAGATATGTGTACTACTTCCAGTCGCAGCCACCTAGTTTGGACGTATATTGTGACTGTGACTATTCATCCTGGCTGTGGATAGCACCTCGTGGTCCTGGAAATCATAGCGCTGTAACTTGCACAAGACTTGTTTGTTGCGCCTTGACGATGAGCTGATGGGTTATTTAAGTATATTCCTGAACAGTACTTTCCTCATTAACTTAATATAAAAAATCAACATATCCAGTGCTGAAAGAGATAACACTTGAGCGCTAGACTTAGTAGAGAGCATTATTAGCATTAATTAAACGGTGCATACGGGAGGCGTTTCGCGCACAAGACATGAAAAGATGTGGTCGACCTTTCTCGTGTATTTGTAGCTTTATTTCATTCTATTTTCCCGTTTATATGAAAGTTAAATGTATTTTTATAAGCAGTTCAACAAAAATTATCATGCAAAAATAAATTGTAATTTAAACCCATTCTGCTTAATGTCGTAATTCAATTGTCGGATGCAAGGACAATTTTTTAAAAATAAGATACCACCTTAATTCATTTCAGAAATAGATGATAAAATAATGAGAATATAAGAAAATGGAAAAGGAGAATACGGCGCTGTTTCCATCCTTATGCCTATATACATGTGTACACTAAGCCCTCCATTGTTCTACCTGCGACATAATTGTCTTGATAGTCCTTGTATCCGCCCGAAAAAAAAAAACATTTTACATCATCATCTCCCTCATCGCCCTGCTAATAATCATCATCATGTACCATACTCTGCTAAAGCCTTGGCGACCAGTTTCCTCCATTTCGACCTATTTACTGTTTAGCCTCTAACAGCACCCCCCAAACAAAAATTTGAGAAAACGTGTTATATACATGTAATAGGTTTTGAAGACCGAACTCGAGAGGGCTCTTGCAGTTTTTCTATTAAAACTGAAATTGAAGTCTTGGTTGATGTCTGGAAATTTTGCCGTCATTCAGCCAGCTGATGCACATCCACTAGTCAATTGAGGCAGGATTGCGTGGATTGTGGATCGCTATCACTACATTATTTCATATAGATGCGATCGCCATTTCTCAGTGGAGTAAAATTGATTTCGTATTAAACCAAGCAAAACAGAACAAAAGCTTTGAGTTGACAGATTCACTCTGAAACCGTTTTATATAAATAATTTTAAATTGAAACAACGAGCGGAAGATGGATTTTACCTGGATTTAAGAGGATTCTGACTCAAGAAGGGATTCTGCTTACTGCGCTAATCCCAGAATACCTGCACTGTTCCATAATAATTTGAAACATAATTCATTTTGCTATTTGAGTAAGGCTTATAAACAACATTGTTTAAAAAGGATTTTATATTTGAACAATCTTATTTTACATTTGAATTTGAAACAGTGTTATTTATTGTACCTGTTGAAACAGCATCAGTTGAGTTATTTTTGAAAGTGCAACATCTCCGGGACGCTGCTTTCCACACCTAGAAATTTTTTACTAAACTTCCAAACTTAACAATAGCCTTAGGGTAGACAATGACTAGACCCCGATCCAATTTAGAATTTAATGTTGAGCTTCTAAAACCTGAAAGGAGTGATATGTTTTGGACGTTGTTTGCATGTCCAGTTTGGATCTGATAAATCCGCATGCAGTTGCAGAGCCTGCTGAAATTAAATATGATTGCAAGTTCTTAGCAGACTGTGGAGTCAGGTTGCTACAATGATACTTGTCATGCTTGTCACCTGTGTGACCAAGGATTAATTCCCGGAGGACAGTGTGTGGATTGTGTATTCAATCCTTACCCGATTTTTGGGGTTTACTAATATTATTTGTACAGGAGTTTCCTCTCTCCCTAAAGCTGAATATGTGCTAAGTTTCCTACACTTATTTACTTATATTTGTGAGCTTCGTTGCCTTAGACTTTAAGGAATCTGTTTCCCAACAACAAAGAGAATATAATGAAAGAAATTATTTTGTTTTACCATTTTGATTTTTTCAACCCCTCGATCTGCCCTAATTCAATAGACCTGTCATTTATTTTTCTTCCTAAATCAAAGTGCATTTAGTACATGAATACAGATCTTCAGTCGTAAAAGTGTAGCTACGATTACTTTTCTGAGGCACAGATTTTATACAATTTTACACTCTTATTCAACAAATAAAAGTATTTCAAATTCCTGTTTGGTCAAACACATTGAATAGTGCACCAATTGAAAGTCCATGATTCTCTGGACACCTGAGGGCGCTGTTTCCCCACGAGTTTTTGGTTAACCCGCTTGATTTTCTTCTCCCCTTCATTAAGCCCGAATTCACGTTCGATTTTGAATTTGCCCTCTCCTCCTTCGTCTCTAAAACCAATTCCCTTTTGTACGGCTATTATACCGAGAAGTCTTTTAGATTCAATACGTTTGGTTACGACCATTTGCAGGTAGAATATGTGGCAAACTTTCTGTTGCATTATTCATAACACGCTTAGAGGGGGTGTAACTTTTGTGGGGGGAACACCCACACCAAGCAGGAAAATTGCATTATTCATAAACATGGTGGTAGGGGAGTGGCCCTGGAAAAAACCAGATAGTGCTGTGCACACGCGGCCATAAACGCACTGTACATGTACTGTACATGTACAGTACATGTACAGCACATGCAACACATGTACATGTACATGTACAATACACGTACCGTAGGGAGAGCGGCTTGAGCTTTGAACGGGTACGGATAGGTTCTCTACGTTGCTGTGCGAGTGGTGAGACCTTCTCTACACACAGTCTTTTCTTTGCTTTCATGCTTGCATGACTCTGCTTGCTTTGCTGTTTCTTTTTTTTTCCCTTGCTGCTTTTATGACCATTTACAGTAACATCTGCAGATTATAACTACACGTACTAAAGCTACATGTACATCGTCGAGCCAACATGGCCGACGAAAATGAGGAAGACATGACATGGGATCAGCTATCAGAATAGTAGATATCAGAATATAAATCTAGGCATAGTCGAAGCCAAAACAATAACCAACCACGCTCTACATTAGACCTTCTCATGAGTCAAGCCCAAGATGACCAAAATGATAACGACGACAACGATGCAGATAGCAATAACGAAAATACTGAGCATGCCAAAGATATGGAAACTCGGGTCAGCTCGGCAAAAACTTCATGGAGACCAATGTCCAGAAAAAGAGTGAAGCCAATAAGCCCAAGTGAAGATTCTGCAGAGTGTGACAACAGTTCCTATTCTCGATACCAAAAGAGAAGAAATGTAAATGCTTATCCGTATTCGTCCCAAGAAAATGCAAATCCTACCATTGTTGTCATAAATTCTCCAGATGCCAAACTTGCTGAGATAAATCCCATTAAAATAGCCAAAGCTCTCAATGAAATCGGATCGAACATCATTAAAAATGTCAACCAACCAAGGTGGCATCAGTGTTAAATGCCACACACCTGGTCAGGCTAACAAACTTAAAAGAATCAATACGCTTGGACAGTGGTCCGTAACCACCGAGTTTGCGAAGTCAGAAACACAAAGTAAAGGTGTTATCTCTGGAGTACCGCTTGAACTTTCTGATAAAGAAATCATCAAGGAATGCAAAAAAGACGGTGTCATGGATGTACGAAGGCTCACTTTCAAAAGAAATGGACAAACTGGAAACAGCCTCTCTGTCTGCCTCACATTTAACACGCCTCACCTGCCTCAGCGCATTCAACTCGGTTATCAGTACTTTGATGTTAAGCCATACATACGACCAGTTTCAACTGCCAACACCTTGGACACACAGCAAACAATTGTGGTAGCAAAACAAGATGTGTCCGATGTAGTGGTACTCACACGTACGATCAGTGTGACAAAAAAGACCAAGTCAAATGCAGCAGATGTGGTGGAAGCCACTCCCCTGCCTATGCTGGTTGTGATACCATTAGAGAAGAAAAGAAAATCTAAGAAGTTAGAGTAACCTACAACATATCCTATGCTGAGGCAGCAAAGTCCATCCGTACAGCCATCACTGTCCTTGCTGAAAAGCCTGACACGCCTTCTCCAGCACCTAAATTGAAAACCTGGACTCCAAACAAAACATGTGCGAACACACAAAATACACAAAATGTACATGTCAGCGGTGAACAAAGAAGATAGAATCTTCAACCGTCGTCCAAAAGAGAGATTTCTACTCAAACCGAAGATGTATTAGTAGCTAGCCAAACTGAACCTATCTCACCATGTTTGTTGGCAGATAACTCGCTAATAGAACTACTTATTGGAACACTTCAAATCTGGGAGTCAACGATAAATAAAGAAAGTAGGGAATCAGAAATAAAGTCTCTCTTTGATCACTTATTCCATCAATCAACCAAAACACAGCAGGCATCAGACAACCAGAGAAAACGTAATGCTCATACACAATCCTCAAGCACTGGTACATCCCTGCAGGGGACACAAAGGAAATTCTCTCAGTCCAAAACGAAACAGAGAGGAGCCCCTGCTAAGTCCTCACAACTACAAATCAGCATTGAAAACATCCAATCGGTCAAAAGGGGAAAGTCAGCAAACATAAACATGAATCTTATCCTCATGGTCTTTATCTTACAATTGAATGCACAATCACTTATTGCACACAGAAATGAATTCAAGCATGCTATAAATGACTGGAACGACAAACCTGATATAATTTGTATACAAGACACATGGCTTAAAGAAAGTAAGAATTTCAATCTTCCTGGATATAACATTTACAGATTGGACAGGAAACCTGACCCTAAATCCTTTGGCGGGGGATGTGCTATTTTTACCAAAAAAGCCCTTGTTGTTCAAAATATTGCTGACAAAAATTCCTTTTTCCAGTATCAAGTCTTGAAGTGTATAATAGTGATAAAAGTAAATTAAAAATTAGTAATGCTTATAACCCTTGTCTCACTTTGAAGGACGATTCTTTAACCGACATCGAAAATCATACAAGCAAGAACACTATTATTTGTGGAGACTTTAACAGCCACAACTCCCTCTGGGGAAGTAAAATGACTGATGCAAATGGTAATATCGAAAATGTAATGGACAAACACAATCTTGTTTGTGTTAATAGTGGAAACGGTACTAGAATTAACACCTCCAATTGTACTACTACGTGCATTGACATTACTATCACCTCTCCAGATCTCGCAGCCAGGAGCAACTGGACTACCTGAGATGATACTTGGGGAAGCGACCACTACCCTATCATTATTGAATTTAATCAAAAATGCCAGTACACTTCCAAAAACTATAACTCAAGTTGGTCCACCAAAAGAGCCAACTGGGATGCCTTTCAACGAGCGTGTGATAACCACATTACTGAACCAAGCATTAATATTAATGCTGAAGATGCTTATAATGAGTACATTGAGCAACTTACTGAGGCTATCAATCATTCCATCCCGTGTACAGTTTCTCACAAAAAGAACAAAAAGATATCTACTTCATGGTGGAATGATGACTGTAAAAAAGCTGTTGAAAACCGGAAAAAAGCCCTTAAATTGCTAAGGAAAACCCGTTGCCCTAAAGACCTTATAGCTTGCAAACGTACCTGTGCTATTGTTCGTAAAGTTATTAAAGCTGCTAAAAGAGATGATTGGAAAAGTCTTTGTGATACCTTGAACTCCCAAACTCCTTCCAAAAAGATTTGGGACAAAATTCATCATATTAACAATACGCATACTAAGGTTAACATCTCAGTCTTAAAAGACAGTGATAAAGAGTTTAGCTCTGACGGAGATAAAGCTAACTTACTTGCTCAAAGTTTTGCTTTGATTTCTATCAGAAATGATCAAAATTACAGTACCTCCTTTTTAAAAAATAAAATGCTGAAAATAATTTTCACCTAATGATGATAATGAGAATGTTATTAATGAACCTTTTACTATGTCTGAACTGGAAACTGCCATTGACGCAGCAAAGTGTACCCCTCCAGGTAAAGATGGTATCAGCAATGACA